AAATGAGACCCGAAACATGACAAGTACCAGTGACACAGTGGGTGGGCTTACATCGGCATCCTTGTATGAGTTTTCTGTGTGGGCGGAGAAGGATGGAGTACCTGGCTCCAGGCAGACCCTTGCGGCGGCCACAGGTGAGAAGCACCCACATCCACTCCCTGTTCTGTTCCCTTTTGTTCTTCATGAAGGTGGTAGGACATGGCTGAGAACCTATGAGAGAAGGTGTCAGTTCCTCTGGCCTCCGCTCTGGGCACAGTGGGAGCCGAAATGTCCTCAGGACTGACTCGCTGGGCCAGACCTGCAGAGATCTGCAGGAGAGACTGGCCATATCCCAGGGATATCTTGGTTCAGGAGACAAGAAAACAGTGTCCACAGGCCCTCCAGCCTCTGAGTTAGGGTCTGGGGGGTGCTTTCTAGACCATAGTACTAGGGTGTGTCTTTCTTAGTGACCAGGGATGTATAAGGGACCAAGGCATGCTGCCTGAATTCTAGGGGATTATGTGCTATGGAATGTGGACACTCTGACCCACTGACTCTTTTCCTAATTCCAAAGTATTCCATCATCTTCAGGATGGAAGCTCAGACCATCAGCTCTCTCACCCTGACTTGGGTAGCTCTCCTGTTCTACACCTTCGTTGTCCAATATGGTAGCCACTAGCCACGTGTGGCTACTTATATTTAAGTCCGTCCAAATTGCATAACATTGCAAATTCCGTTGCATATTTCATGTACCTTAATGAAGGGCTCCCAACCCCCTCTCCACTCCATCCTCCACTGGTGTTGTATCTACCATGTTGGAAGGCGGGAGAGCATTTCTGTCATGGCAGAAGTTCAGTTGGAAAGCGCCGGCCCAGACCCTTGCTACTGAAAGTATGATCCATGTGAGGGCAGCCTCAGTGGCCCTCTAGGGCTGACTGGAAGTGCAGAATCCCAGACCTACTGACTCAGAACCTGCATTTTGACAAGATTCCTAGTGACGTGTATGCACATTCGAGTTTGAGAAGCACTGGTCTAGACCACACTCCCTACATCCACTGGGAGCAACACTTGAGGGGGAACTGGGAACTCTGACAGCCAAAAATGTCCACTGCATCCCCCTCTCTTTTCTGTACCCCTGTTCAGTTTGGATCTTCTTTCTACATTCTCAGCTCCCAACCCAGTGAGGAACCTGAGAGTGGAGGCTCAGACCAACAGCTCCATCTCCCTGAGCTGGGAGGTCCCCGAGGGCCCTGACGCGCAGAACTACACCTACTGGGTCCAGTGCACTGGAGACGGTGGCAGAAATGAGACCCGAAACACAACGAACACCAGTGTCACAGTGGATGGACTTGAACCCGCATCCTTGTATGAATTCTGGGTGTGGGTGGAGAAGAATGGAGTGTTTGTCTCCAGGCAGAGTCTCAGCATCTCCACAGGTGAGAGGCCTCAGTGCCCACGCTCTGTTCCGGTGAGAGATTAAGAACTGGCAAAGAGGCTTTGACCCTTTAATCCACAGTCTCCCCAGCTTCACTGAGCCAGGACACCCCCATAGCCGAGTCCACAAGAGAGACATAGCTGCACCTGGGACTGGCTTTGCACTGCAGAAGCGAAGAGCCTATTCAGATGTCTCCTGCCACTGGGCATGGGGCTGCAAGAGCCCTGGCCATTTAAGGTCCCATCGCAGGGAAGTGTTTCTTAACTCGCTGGGCTGCATAGAGACAGGGCATTTCACTGTATTCTGGACTCTTGGGGACTGGGGAACATGGAAATCCTGACTCTTTTCCCTTCCACCAGTCCCCAACATGGTGAAGAGTCTCAGTGTGCAGGACCAGACCAACAGCTCCATCACCTTGAGCTGGACAGCTCCCGAGGGCCCGGGTTATTTTATCTACACCTACTGGGTCTCATGGGTCGAGGAGGGCATTATTGACCCTAGGACCCAGAACACCTCAGACACTGGAATCACCCTAAAGGAACTGGAATCTGGGAGCCTGTACAACCTCACCGTCTGGGCAGAGAGGAATGAAGTCGGAGGCTACACCAGGACCCTCACTGTAGCAACCGGTGAGACACAGTCTGGTTTTGGACCTATTGGGATGGGGCAAGGAAAATGATGACGGGCCTTTGGGAGCTTCTTGGGTGATGATGGGTGCCCATTGACCCTATCCAGCCTCACTAGAGCTTGAACTTGTAGGTCTCGTTCCTGGGGGCATCGTCCCTCTGCAACCAGGGCTTTCCAAACTATGGGGTCTGTCTTTTCTGCCTTTGGGGAATGGGCTGTTTGGGAGTTGTAGTTTCATGGATGGGGAGTCCAGGGCCTCATGGGAGTTGTAGTTTCAGGGACTCACGTCCACTGGGAACCAAAAGGTGACAGGCAGGACCCAGGACTATAGCCAGGGGACAGAGAGGGCCCAGGAGATCCTGGTCCCCACAGTGCGTGGCTCTTTTCTGTGGTTCGCTCTCCTAAGTCACTAGAGCCATGGATAATGGGCATCTCTGCTTTGCTGTGAGGGCAGGTGAGCAGGCTCAGGTAGGAGGATCTTTGAGGATATCCCCCCTCAGGCCTCTACCCTCACTTCTCAGCTCCCAGTGAAGTCATGGATCTGCAGAATATAACTCAGAACAACAACTCAGTCACCCTGTGGTGGAAGGCCCCCGCAGACCCCTACTCTCAGCTCTACATATACTGGGTCCAGTGGGCCAGCGGGGGACACTCCCAGAGGCAGCAAGATCCCCAAGGAGATTGGGCCAATCAGACCTCCAGGACCAACGAGACTTGGTATGAGGTGGAGGCCCTTGAACCTGGGACTCTGTACAACTTCAGCGTGTGGGCAGTGAGGAATGATGTAGCCAGTTCCACACAGAGCCTCCAGGCATCCACAGGTGAGATGCCCCACCCTTCCTTTACCCGGTGCCCTGGGCGTAGGTCAGACCTGGAGGGCCATGGGAGATGAATAGACTACAAATCCCATCAGGCCATGGGGCTGGGAACTCATAAGCTGCAGCATTATGGAGAGCCTAAGGGCTCATGGGAGTTATAGTTTTCAGGGACCTATTTGTGTTAATTTGGGAGAATTCAAAGTGGGGGAAGGTGAGGTATTTTGGTCTGGGGGAGGAAGGGCTGGCTTGTCCTGGAGGACTGGCATGCCCAGTGCTGGTGGTGGGTGGAGGGTGGTGGGAAGCCCCCTTGGACGGCTCCTACTGACTCCTCTTGTTCCCTTCACCCAGCCCCAGACTCAGCCACCATCATATCCTGTACCAGCACCTCAGGGGGCTATGGGGTCATCCTGACCTGGTCCTGCCCCTCGGGGGGCTACGAGGCCTTCGAGTTGGAAGTGGGTGTGCAGCGGGGCTCCCAGGACAGGTCTGCATGTGGACAGGGTGTGCCTGTGTCGGGGCTCGGGCCGGCTCGGTCCTACCCAGCCACCATCAGCACCGTGTGGGACGGAATGAGGGCCCAGTCTGCCCCGGTGACCTGCCACACGGAGAGCGCAGGTGAGTAGCCCGCAGGGGCCATCAGGCCCTGACAAGGGAATCCGTGGGATTCTTTTGTTTATTTGTCTTTTGTTCCTGTTTCCTTTAAAACAGCTTTATTGAGATACAGGTCTCATAACATACAAGTCACCCACTTAAAGTTACAACTCCACAACTTTTAGTCTATTCACAGTGTTGCGAAACCATCGCCACTATGGATTTTAGGACACTTTCAATACTCCAAAGAGAAAACTCACTCCCCTTAGCCATCGCTCCCTTGATTCCCCCATTTCTTGGCCCCTAACCCTAAGAAATCTCAAATCTACTTTCCATTTATAAAGATTTGCCTGTTCTGGATATTTCATAAAGGTGTAGTCATACATTACGTGGTCCTTTGTGACTGGCCACTTTCACTGAGCGTAATTTTTTTTTTTTGAGACAGAGTCTCACTCTGTTGCCCGGGCTAGAGTGCTGTGGCGTCAGCCTAGCTCACAGCAACCGCAAACTCCTGGGCTCAAGCGATCCTCCTGCATCAAACTATGGAGTAGCTGGGACTACAGGCGCTTGCCACCATGCCTGGCTAGTTTTTTCTATTTTTAGTAGAGACGGAGTCTTGCTCTTGCTCAAGCTGGTTTTGAACTCCTGATCTCAAGGGATCCTCCCGCCTGGGCCTCCCAGAGAGCTAGGATTACAGGCGTGAGCCACTGCACCCAGCCCAGGGAGTAGTTTCTTAACCTGCAATGTGTTTCCTCAATCTGGGCACTATAGACATTTGGGGCTATGTCCCTCTTTGTCGTGGGGGGGGGCGCTGTACTGTATACTGAAGGGTACCGAGCAGCATCCGTGGCCTCCACCCAGTAGATACCAGTAGCTCCCCCATCCACAAGTTGTGGTAACTAAAAATGTCTCCAGACATTGACCAATATCCCCTTAGGGACAAAATCACCCTTGTTGAGAACCACTGGTGTAGGCCAAGGAAGGGGAGAGTTCGCCTGAGAATATGATGTATAGTTGACCCTTGAACAACAGCCCCCCACACATAGTCAAGAATCTGCGTATAACTTTTGAGTCTCCAAAAACTTAACTGCCGGCCAGGCGCGGTGGCTCATGCCTGTCATCCTAGCACCCTGGGAGGCCCAGGTGGGAGGATCACTTGAGCTCAAGAGTTCGAGAGCAGCCTGAGCAAGAGCGAAACCCCGTCTCTACTAAAATTAGAAAAATTAGCCGGGCATCGTGCGCCTGCAGTCCCAGCTACTGGGGAGGCTGAGGCAGGAGGATCGCTTGAGCCCAGGAGTTTGAGGTTGCAGTGAGCTAAGATGATGCCACTGCACTCTACCCAGGGTGACAGAGCAAGACTCTACCTCAAACAAAAAAAATAAAATAAAATAAGTTAAAAAAAACCAAAAACTTAACTGTTAATAACCTACTGTTCACTAGAAGCTTTACAGTGAAATAACACATAAACATAAACAGTGAAATAACATAAACAGTGAAATAACACATATTTTGTATGTATATGTATAATATATACTGTATTCTTACAGTAAATTAAGCTAGAGAAAAGGAAGTGTTATTGAGAAGATCATAAGGAAGAGAAAACATATTTACCATTCATTAAGGGGCAGTGGATCATCATAAAGGCCTTCATCCTCATGTCTTCATGTTGAGTAGGCTGAGGAGGAGGAGGAGGAGGAAGGCTCAGTCTTGCTGTCCCGGGCGTGGCAGAGGAGGAAGCAAGTCCGTGTATAAGTGGACCTGTGCAGTTTAAGCCTGTGTTGTTCAAGGGTCAAGCGTATGTGGACCAGGCTCCTGGGAAGTGAGGGAGGAAGAGGGAAGGCTGAGCGGAGGCCGAGGCTCTAGCCAGAGGGTTTGCTCTTCCCCTCCCGAGCCTCAGCATCTACCCTGTAGGCTCTGACCCCAGTGCCCAGCGAGGACAGAGGTGGGAGATCGGTAGACAAGACCTGGGCTGAGGCTCCCGCTGCCTCCTCCCTGCAGGGGTCATTGCTGGAGCCATCGTGGGCGTCCTCCTGTTTTTCACCCTGGTGGGCCTGCTGGTGTTCTTCCTGAGGAGGAGGTGAGACTCAGCACAGGACTGACTTCCTGGAGGTCGGGGCGGGGGCAGGAGGAGGAGGATCGCTGGCTCTGGCCTCGGCCTCGCTCCCTGAGCCTTCCATCCCCACGTCCTTTCCCCAGGAAGAGGAGGAGCCAAGAGAAAGCAGAGCCCGAGGATCTGGTCCTCAGGTGAGCAGACGCTTTGGGGGAGGAACTGGAAGAATCGCTGTCTGGTCAAGGCAGGGTGTCTGCTGGCCACCCAGCAGGATTAGAGGTTAAAATCTTTTCTCCCCTCCCCCTCAACCCACAGCTTCCCAGAGGGCATCCTGGCCAAAGACTTCGCTGACTATGTCAGGAACAACGAGAAGGACAGCAATTGGGGCTTTGCAGACGAGTACCAGGTGGGTGGGGACGGAGGGGCTGAGCTCAGCTGTGCGTGGCCCAGACCCCACCCTAGACCTTCCTGCACCCTTTGGGTTTAAGCGAAAGCGGCAATGCATATCTTGTTCCACGGTGCAGAAATTCTCAGGCATGGTTATCTTTCGACTCCTTGAAATCTTAAAATAATGACGGGTCAGTGCTAAAGTAACTCCCGCAACCCTGGCGAGGGTCTGTTTTCCCCACACCTGCTCTCTCACCTGCCTGAAGAAGTCCCCATGGCTCCCTAAATCCTCCCAGATGCCCCTAGGGTGGGTGGTACACCTATGTTCTGTTTTTGTGGGTGCTATAGAATCCCAGGGTGCAAGGGATAAACAAGGGGTGATGCTGGAAAGGGTAAGGGGGGTCTCGGGGGTCTCCTCCAGGAGAGGTAGAGAAAACCCAGCACCATGCCCCGCCCCCCTCTGCCTCCGCCCCCAGCAATTGGCCCTGGAGGGCCAAGACTACTCTCAGGTGGTGGCCTCAGCTCCAGAGAACTGTGCCAAGAACCGCTACAGAAACGTCCTGCCATGTGAGTCTCAGGCTCCCGCCGCCTTCGTCCTCAGCCCCCACCTGGTGCACACCCCACCCGGTCCCCTTCCCTTACCCACTGTGGGAGACTTGTCCCTCGTGAGTCCCTTGAGAGTCTTCCTGCCTCCCCCAGCCGAGGTCCCTGAGCCCCTCTCAGTCCCTGCATGGCTCCCAGTGTCTGTCTGCATCTCGGCATGACCTCTGTCCCTGGGTCTCCAACTTGTCTCTGCCTCTCTGTCTCTCACTGGTCTCTCTGCGTCGCTCATGCCGGCCTCTCCTAGATGACTGGTCCCGGGTGTCCCTGAAGCCCCTCCACGGGGAACCAGGCTCTGACTACATCAACGCCAGCTTCATGCCTGTAAGGCTGTGGTTGGGAGCGGAGGGTGCTCAGCCAGCCTGGAGATGTGCGGGCCAGAGGGGCATCCACAGGCCCCCTTGACATGCCTGCTTTCCTCAACCAGGGTCTCCACAGCCCCCTGGAGTTCATTGCAGCCCAGGGCCCCCTGCCGCACACTGTGGGCGACTTCTGGCGCCTGGTGTGGGAACAGCAGAGCCGTACCCTGGTCATGCTGACCAACTGCATGGAGTCTGGCCGGGTGAGAGGAGAGTCCTGGGCGCCGACCTCTGAGCTCCAGCCCGTGGCCCTGCCCCAGACACTGGTCCAATGTGGACCCCGGTGCAGACCGCACCGGTTGTCCCAGTATGGCCACGACCATCTTCAGTGTGGCCCCTCCCACGCTGAGGCCATCTGCTGCTCCACACGTGAGGCGCGAAGTGGATCCCACTAACCTTGGGGTGGAGGGGTCCCCCTGGCTGGATCCACACCAGTGGCTCATGGGTCCTGCCAGGGCAGGGGAGACTTGAATAGAAGAGCCACAAGGCAGAGGTGCCTCCTGTTTTCTGACCCCCATCCTCCTCCAGGTGAAGTGTGAGCATTATTGGCCCCTGGATGCTCAGCCCTGCACCTACGGGCACCTGCGGGTGACCCTGGTGGGCGAGGAGGTGACGGAGACCTGGGCGGTGCGGGATCTGCAGCTCTTCCAGGTAAGTCCCTCACCACCCCCACGGCCCTCGCCACGCACGTCTCCCGTCTCCGGAACCGACGTGCTCTCCCTCGCCCCATCCAGGCGGAGGAGCAGAAGACCCTATCCGTGCGTCAGTTCCACTACCTGGCCTGGCCGGATCACGGTGTCCCCCACTCCCCAGACCCCTTGCTGGCCTTCTGGAAGATGCTCCGGTCGTGGCTGGACCAGGCGGTGGAGGGAGGCCCGCCCATTGTGCATTGCAGGTGGGGGCCGGAACCCCCTCCCCCCGGCGAGAACCTCGGGATCAGACAGTGGTGGTGTTAGATGGTCCCGGGGGCTTGTAGAGGGGGTGGCAGAGAAGAAAGATAAGGACGAAAAGACGGGAACGAAAGATGAAAGGGGAAAGGAAGAGAAGGTATGAATGAGGAGGAGGAGAAGGAGGAGGAGGGGGAGGAGGAGGAAGGGGAGCAGGAGCAGGAAGCAGCCAGAGTTTGAGAAACATTTGCAATGCGCCCCCTGGCGTTCAATTGCTCAGCTACACCCATCAACTGCTCTCCTGATATTTAGGCTGAAGCCCTTAGGTCAGGTTTCACCTAAATGCAAACACTGGGGGCCTGAGGAGGGGAGGGGAGCTTGCTCTGTCCCGGGTGACTGCCTCTGAAACTGGGGCTCGGGTTTCAATGATAGTTGACATCGTGGAACATTGAACAGCCACCGTCTCGCTCATCCTCAGCACAATCTGCATGACGAAAGAGTTTCCTCCTCATTTTACTTATTTGTTTGTTTTTGGGTAGAGACAGGGTCCCTCCATGTTGCCCAGGCTGGTCTCAAACTCCTGGCCTGAAGCAAACCTCCTGCCTTGACCTTCCAAAGTGCTGGGGTGACAGGCGGGAGCCACCGCCCCTCCCCATTTTAGAGCTGAGCTGATATCATTATATGATTCCATTAATATGAACTATCCAGAAGAGGTAAGTCGACCGAGACAGAAACAGATTAGTGGTTTCCAGGGGCTGAAGGGAGAGGGGGAAATGGGGAGTGGCCGCTTAATGGGTGTGGGGCCTCGTGTTGGGGTGATGAGAGCATTCTACAAGTAGACAGAGGCGGCGGTTGCACAGCACTGTGAGTGTGCTAATTGTCACTGGATCTTTCACATTAAAATGGTTAATTTTTGGCCAGGCGTGGTGGCTCATGCCTGTAATCCTAGCACTGTGGGAGGCTGAGGCTGGAGTACTGCTGGAGGTCAAGAGTTCGTGACCAGCCTGGGCAACACAGCCAGACCCTGTCTCTACAAAAAACTTTCTAAGAATTGGGTCAAGCATGTTGGCTCACACCTGTAATCCTAGCACTTTGGGAGGCTGAGGGGGGAGGATTGCTTGAGGCCAGGAGTTTGAGGTTTAAGTGAGCTATGATGATGCCACTGCACTCTATTTGGGTGACAGGGTGAGACCCTGTCTTTAAAAAATAAATAAAATGGTTAATTTTATGTTTAAAGCAATTTAAAAATGATTATCTCAGGGGTTCATCTTCCTGTGTTTGAACCCCAACTCTGTCACTTATCAGCCGAGTAATCTGGGATGTGAGGCTTCACTTTACTCAGCCTTCATTTTCCCATCTGTAAAATGGGTGTATTGGTATTAATAGATCTTACTTCTTAGACTTGGGAGGAGTAAAAAAGGCACATAAGACACTTAGAACAGGGTCTGATGGACAGAAAGAACTCTAGGCATAGTTGTTGTCATTACTCCAAAAGCAGACTCCTCTAATCAGCCAGACTTCCCCTGCTCCCAAGATCTGACCCTCTCCTTGTCCCACTAGTGCTGGCGTGGGCCGCACTGGCACCCTCATTGCCCTGGATGTCCTGCTTCGGCAGCTGGAGTGCGATGGCCTCGTAGCGCCCTTCAGCTTTGTGAGGAAGATGAGAGAGAGCCGGCCGTTGATGGTGCAAACAGAGGTGATGGAGCCCCTGAGGGACCCAGGGTGAAGGTGGGGGGCAGGATGTGGGACCCCGTGGCTCAGAGCAGCCCAGGCTTGGGGAGGGTGCCGCTCATTCTCCATGCCTCCTCCCCAGGCCCAGTACGTATTCCTGCACCAGTGCATCCTGCGGTTCCTCCAACAGTCCGCCTCGGCCCAGGAGGAGGTCACGTATGAGAACGTGGCAAACCTCATCTACGAGAACGCGGCCGCCATCCAGGCCCAGGAGGTGGAGGCATAAGCTATGAGGGCTGAGTGGGCAGCGCAGCTACACTCGAGCTCTGGGTCCCCACTGGAGCCCAGATTCCCGGAGGAGTGGAGGGCCGGGGTCCCAGACTCCTGGGCCCTGTGAGAGGAGGGGGCTGGGAGCCTAAATTCCTGTTTCTCCAGGGGAGAGGGGTCTGCTTCCACTCATGAATCCTGTGGGAGCTGGGGGCCTGGACGCCTGGCTGCTTGTAGGAGAAGGGTGGCAGCTTGGATTTCCCTGTTCTTTGAGGGAGAAGGAAGCTGAGGGAGATGGATGCAGCAAGAACCAGGCTGGAATCTGGATTCTGAGGGAGGAAGAAGTTAGGGTCTGGAATTCTGGCTACCCAAAGAGCAAGAGCAGGCAGGATCCTGCCCTGCGTTTACATCAGAAAACAAATCAGTCTTCTACAACCTGGGGTTGGAGGGAGTTCCTCTGCCTGAGGTCTCCCTGCACCTCCCATCTGCATGTATTTTCCCATCCATCCCATAATTTATTAAATCACTGTTCTCAGAAACGGTTGCTCCCGTGGATTTATGGGTCTGGAAATGATATTGGCGTGGGAGTAGGAATGAGTTTCTGACATCTAGGTACAGAGGCAAACGTGCCAGGGAGGGGAATAGAGGGACCCACGATTTTGCAGGTTAATATGGGTTTGGATGGTTAAGTCTCTCAGACAAGGCCGGGTCCAGATGTCTGTATCCAGGGTCTGGACAGTATGGGTGGGGTTCGCTGGAGCTGGAGGCGTGGGGGCTGCCTCCTGGGCTTGGCGTTAGGGGAACTGGGAGGGTGATGTCTGGGGGCTGTTATGCTGAATATCATCTGAATACTTGGGTTTCCAGATGGGTCTCCTGGGTCTCAGGACTAGATATCATGGCACCCAGTTCTTTGAGCTGCACGGGGTGTGTGTTTTGTGTGTGTTGGGGCATGGGGAGCGGTGTGGATGGCCAACGGCTGGACTAGAAGGCAGAAAATTCTGAGGCATCAGGATAAACATCTGTGGGCGCCACCATGGTTCGCGGGTGGGGGCGGGACGAGGGGTAGGGCGGGGCTTTCCTTCTACCCAGGACCGAACAGGGGCACACACTCTCTCACTCACACACACAAAGACACACACACACACACACACACACACACAGACACACCACGCTGGGACCTGCTCGGCTCGGCCGCGCCCCCGCCCCGCCGCGCTCCGCGATCAGCACCCAGGACAGCGCCACCGCCCACGTGCGGGCGGGGCCGGCGCCTCGGTGTCTCAGGAGGTCCTGTTCAGCCTCGGAGCAGGTAGGAGCTGCGGGGACCCCTTCCCTGAGCCCTCATTCCGGTGCCTAGAAGGACGGGGTGTGGGTGTGGGTGTGGGGGGGACCCTGGGAGAGACCAGTAGAGGCAGTGGGAGGGCTGGAGCCTGAAAACGTAGAGACTGGGGGAGACACGAGCTAGGGGTGGGCAAGACAAAGAGAAGACAAAGAGGGGAAGGAGGGCGCGCAGGGGGAGGGGACGGGGAGAAACCCTGGGAGACAGAGGCCAGACAGTCCCCCTGGGGAGACAGAAATAGGGGAGACGCCTATTTGGGGTCGGGAGACAGGTGGAGACAGGCGGACAGGAGAACAGGTGTGAAGACAGAGCTCGGGACGCACGGCAGAGACCCACAGGCCGGGAAGGATGCAGGGGGCCCAGCAGAGGCGCCCCCACCGACCCCCCAGCAAGGATGGGGAGAGGGAACAGGGAACCTGCGCCTCCGCTCCACGGGCCGGATGCGGAGGAAGGAGCCGGCTGTGGTCGCACGGACCACACGTTGCCCCCTCCACGCCCTCGCTGGACCCCTGGATCCGGGCCAGGGGGTCCCAGGCACCGACCTCGCGGGGAGGGAGCCTGCCCCGCGGGGACTCAGGGTCCGTGCGTCAGCCCCGCCCGTTGTCCTGGCAACAGGCCGTTTCCTGGGCAACCAGCATTGCTCCGACCCCGCCCAAGCACAGCCGGGCAGTTGCTCTGGGCAACGCGGTCCGCTAGTTCCCACGCCGGCTTTCGCCAACTTCCTGTCCAGGTCCTGGACGCCCCCCCCCCGCCCTTGGCTCCCCCAAGCTGCCGCCTCCGTCGCAGGGTGGCTAAAGCTACCGCTCCCAGCATGCTTCACGGCTCTGGCCGGTCCGGGCATGGCGGCCGCGCGGGGGCCGATGGGAGTTGGAGTTCTCTGCTGTGCAAGCAGTCAGTCAATGGACGTGTGGGGTGGGACTTGGGGGGCTAGGGCGTTTGAGTGCCTCTGCAGAAAGGACCGTCGGATCTCGCTGCCATGTTCCCGGAGCCTCCGACCCCCGGACCTCCAGCGTCCGACGCGCCGCCGGACTCCAGCCGCATCAGCCACGGCCCAGGTGAGCGGGACCCGAGCGCAGAGCGGACGGAAAGCCCGGCCTGGATTTGCAGGGGCGGGATTCGGACGGGCGAGCTCGGGCTAGTGGGCTGGAAAATCCGGCCGGCATTCTAGGGCAGCATCCTGGACGGGAATGTGAATGAAATGGGGGCGGGGCGGGGGTGGGTGGGAGAACGAACAGGTTTGCAAGAAAAACCAGAACCGGATCAAGGGGTGTGGCGTGGAAGGGATCTTAGAATTGGAAGGTCCGCCTCACTCTTCTTTTACAGATAAGGAAACTGATGCCCAGGGAGGAGCAGGATCTGTCCTAAAAGCATCAGGGCTTGAGCAGAAATTAGAGTAGGGGTGGGAAGAAAGGTGGAACAATAAGCAAGCAATCTGGATGGTGTCAGCCTGGTTTAGAGCCTCATATCTCTTTATAGGCAAAATCAGCTGGAGGGAAAATGGGAAAAATGGAATGGAAATGGCTGGAGGGAAAACGAGGCCTGGATTTCAGCTTCCATTTGTAATGGAGACTGAGTCAGCCAGCCTGCTTCCCAGGGCCTCAATGTGTTGTCTCCACCCCCTTGCAGTGCCCCCCTGGGCCCTGGCCACCATCGTGCTGGTCTCAGGCCTCCTCGTCTTCAGCTGCTGTTTCTGTCTCTACCGGAAGCGCTGTCGGAGGCGGATGGGCAAGAAGAGCCAGGCCCAAGCCCAGGTCCACTTTCAGGAAGTGAAGGAGTTGGGCCAGAGTTACATAGACAAGGTGTGGCCTGGTCCAGCTCCTCAAGCCTACCCCTTCCTGCACCCTGCACCTCTCAAGGGCCCAGCCAGCCTCAGTCCCTGCTCCCTTCTCTCCTAAACCCCCCTTATTGGCTCATCTAATAATAAGATGTGTGTCTAGCCCTTAACTGGACTCTGGGGACCTGGAAATGGGTCACATCTAGTTGCTGTTCACAAAAACTTCTCGGTCTGGTGAGGGAGTCAGACACTGACACAGACACAACGCAGGCTGATGTGTGTCATACTCAGGGCACAACAGGGTCGTATAGGAGTGCAGAGAAAGCACTGAGCAGCCCAGAGCAGAGGGTCAGACAGAGCCTTCCTGGTGGGGGTGACTTCTGTGCTGAGCCTCAAGGGACAGAGTTAACTGAGAGCAGAGAGAAGGATATTGTAGTCAAAGGAAGAGTGTGTGATGAGGCCCGACTTCCAGATTCTGAGGCATTCTTGGAGAACAGAGAGTCATTTTGCACCATAGCTGGGGCAGAGTACAGGTATGCTGTGCTCCGGAGCAAAGTGTCTGGAGAGCTCAGCACGTATGGAGAGCGATTGAGAGCCACAGAAATGTTCTGAGCAGGAAAGAGACAGGGTCAGATGGGCATTAGGATGAGTCCTCTGGCGCCTGTGTGGAGGACAGAGAGGGTGAAAGAGATATGCATTGGAAGAGGCCGTCCGAGTGGAAAATAAAAGGCTGCCGCAGGAACTGAACATTAAGCCTCTAAGTGCAGAGGGGAATGCTTGCCTGGGAGCCAGGCAGCCCTAGGTTTCCAACCCAGAGAGACCATTTCCCAGCTGTGTGACCTTGGGAATTCACTGTCCTTCTCTGAGCCTCAAGTTCATGGTCACTAAGTATTTCCCCTTCTTTCTTTTCAAGAAATAGTTGTTATAATTATTATCCATTAGGGATGTCATTTAGGATCCTGGTACCCAGCCCCCATCTGTATCCCTTAGGCCACTGTTGTTCAAAGACCATCTGTATGAGAATCACCTCAAGTCCTTGTTGAAAGGCAAATCCTGCATCTCACACCTGAGCTACAGTATCAGAGTCCCTAAAGAGGTGACCTCAGGCATCTTGCCATGCCCTCGGGGGAATTCTGATCCACATGGAATTTTAAGAATTGTTGGCCTAGATTAGGGAGACACCTTCTGCTTTTGTTGTTCTACTTTAGAATTACAAGTACACAGCAAACATTCCATTTCTCCTTCATGTTTTGCTGTGGCAAGATCACCAATCAACATGGCTGTTTGGACTACCACCCCAATACATTCATTAGCATGTGAAATAAAATCTGCATCATTCCTGTGGAAATGAGACACTATCAGCACTTGTCGTCTTAGTCTAGGCATGACAAACATACTGTATGTACATTCCCATGTCTATTCCCCATCCATAGCAGACATCACTAATCAAACACTGATTCTACTTGGCCTGCCAAGGCTCAGGTATAGCCCAAGGGATCTGTGAGCCTCCCTTGGCTTCTGAGCCTGAAGGATACTGCTATCAGGGGAAGACTTCACCTGCCCTTGCCCCTGGTTCCCTAAGGTGCAGCCAGAAGTGGAGGAGCTGGAGCCAGCACCATCCGGGCCAGGGCAGCAGGTGACAGACAAGCATGAGCTAGGACGACTGCAGTACTCACTGGATTATGACTTCCAGAGTGGACAGGTGGGTGTGAAGGAAGGGGATGCTTTGGAGGGGAGGGTTCCAGCCCCTTCCAAGAGGAAGCCCTGGAAGGGAGGCTAAGACTAGGGTCCCCTCCACCCCCCATGCTTGGGCACCTGCAGCTGCTGGTCGGCATCCTACAAGCAGAGGGATTGGCAGCCTTGGACCTGGGTGGCTCCTCAGACCCCTATGTGCGGGTCTACCTGCTGCCAGACAAGCGGAGGCGGCACGAAACCAAGGTGCATCGGCAGACACTGAACCCACACTTTGGGGAGACCTTCGCCTTCAAGGTGAGCTCCTGCCTTCAATGTCCCATGCTCCACAGCCTGCCCCTAGTCCCTGGAGCCCTGGGACTCACCCTTTGGCTTTTCCTGGGGGCAGCCACAGCTCAAGTGGCAGCTACCAGCTCTGGGGGCTATCCCACCGGACCCAGGGTTGTCCCCTTGGGGCACTACTGAACCCTGGGCTGTTGCCTTGGTCCTTGCGCTGTCGTCCCTTTTGGGTTCCATTGACCAGTGATTTTTTTCCCCCCATGGATCCCTGGACCTTCCAATTGGGGTTCCATAGACACCCTCCCCCAACTGTTCCCTTGGACCCTTGCAGCCCCACTCAACGCCTACCACCTGGATGTACTGCACCCCACTTCCTCTCTCGCTGACATCCTACTCTCCTTGTGTTCTCTCGGTGTCCCCCACACATCCAGGTTCCCTACGTGGAGCTGGGAGGCAGGGTGCTGGTCATGGCGGTGTACGACTTCGATCGCTTCTCCCGCAACGATGCCATTGGGGAGGTGCGGGTCCCCATGAGCTCGGTGGACTTGGGGCGGCCAGTGCAGGCCTGGCGGGAGCTGCAGGCGGCTCCGCGGGAGGAGGTGAGCACGCGCGGCCACGCCCCCAGGCCAGGCACCGCCCACCCCTACCCTGGGCCAGTCACTGGCCTCCCGGACCCTCGGGCCACTATCTTCCACCTGCTCCAGAGGGATAGATTGGTGCATCCCCCTCCTAGGATTGTACCACTGGGTTCTTAACTCTGGACCACTCCATCCCAAGGTGTGGGGGAGGAAAGAGAGATGGGAGAGGGGATGGATGTGGAGCCGGGACTCTGGTGATGGGTCCCTCTCCTCCTTTCAGCAAGAGAAACTAGGAGACATCTGCTTCTCCCTCCGCTATGTCCCCACGGCCGGGAAGCTCACCGTCATCGTCCTGGAGGCTAAAAACCTGAAGAAGATGGACGTAGGAGGACTGTCAGGTGTGTGGGAAGCAAGACAATGGGTGTGTGGTGTGGGGTGGGGGCGGGTTCTCCGGTTCTGACAGTTTCTGGGCGCCGGGGGTCTCTTGAGGGAGAGGGAGACCCAGGCTGCCATGGGAGGCACCGATTTTGGCACAGAGAGGAGACCCAGGGGTGTGTGTGCTGTCTCTACGCTGGTGCGGGAACTCAGCAGCGGGGGCTATAAGGCTCCTCCTCCCTCTCCCCAGATCCCTACGTCAAGGTCCACCTGCTGCAGGGCGGCAAAAAGGTGCGGAAGAAGAAAACTACCATCAAGAAGAACACTCTGAACCCCTATTACAACGAGGCTTTCAGTTTCGAGGTGCCCTGTGACCAAGTCCAGGTGAGACCTGCCCGTCGCCTCTGCCAGAGCAGCCGTTTCCCAAGAGCCCCAGACCCTTAAAAAGGGGAGACTTTTTAACATCTCGGTAGAAACCAGGGCGGGGGCTGAGATTATGGTCTCAGTCTCAGTTTCCTCCTGTGAGGCCCAGGAAGTCCCACCCCCTCAAGGAAGAGTCTCCTTATGATTGGGCGTGGGCATCCTGTCTGCCCTAAGCAAGACGGGATGTCCCGCCCACTAAGCAAGACGGGATGCCCCGCCCTCCAGAGCATGGTTACTGAGAAGAAGAAACCTCCCCAGACCCCTTTAGGGACAGGCCTGGCCAGGCCTAAGGCTTGGCCCCAACCCATGTCACAGCTACGAAACCCCCTCTTAGGGGGCTGTTCCCTAAGGAGGCTCCTAACAAGCCCTGAGCAGCCAGGTCCGGAAGGTTCATTTCCTTGGAAAGCTGCTTGTGAAGGAAGAAAGGTCCCAGAGCACCCTTCTCGCGGCAGACCTGGTCCCTTCCATCCCCACTCCCTATCCTGTCCCCAGCTCCTCTAGCAAGGCCCTTGGTACTCAGGCTGCAGAGAGAGGATGTCCTTAGCAATGAGAGCTGACATTTGACCCCCTGCCGGAGCCTCATTTCCTCACTGTCCTGTGTCCTCTACCTTTCTTGCCACCCCAGAAAGTCCAGGTGGAGCTGACCGTGCTGGACTACGACAAGCTGGGCAAGAACGAGGCCATCGGGAGGGTGGCCGTAGGGGCAGCAGCTGGCGGGGCTGGCCTGCGGCACTGGGCAGACATGCTGGCCAACCCCCGGCGGCCCATTGCCCAGTGGCACTCTCTGCGGCCCCCTGACCGAGTGAGGCTGCTGCCTGCGCCCTGATCCTCACCCCACGCTCCTGGCCAAGCCCGGACTCTCGCTGCTGACCCCAGACTCCTGAGACTGGCCGAAGCCAAGCCCAGTGCTACCCTGAAGGCTTCGCTGACCGCGAGCCCCTCCCCGGTCCCCAACCATCTGATCCTTTCCTGCCTTCTCACCCTCTATTATGCCGATCGTGACAACTTTCTAACAACACCTCCCGTGCACATACCCAGAAGCCCCAGGGACCCCTGGTTGGGGGAGGGGAAGCAGTCTGGTTCCGGCTGCCCCACGGTCCTGCCCTCTGCTCTGACAATCCGTGTTCCCAGTTCACTATCCCCTTCGCTCCCACAGTCGCTGTCCCCACACAGCCTGATCCCTGCCCTGCTCCTGGGGCCAAATAAATATTCAGCAGCTCTGGTGGCCTGGCCCCATGCTCCTTGATGGGGGTGGGCAGGGGCTGGGTGCCCCAGAGGGAACCCTATCTCCAGGAATGGGAGCACCCAGGGCAGTGCGAGTGCTGTTCACCCTGGAAACCCACTGGGGGAAACCCACTCACCCACCACCTGCCGTCTCATGCTCTCACTCGCTCGCACGTCATTCATCCACATATTCATTCATTCGCTCACCTCTCTGAGCCTCAGTTTCCTCACCTGAAAATACTGCGGTGATAATAATACCTGTGACAGGTTTGCTGTGAGGAGCCAGGAGCACTCCCTTACTTATTCATGAATTCACCCACTCCCTCGCCCATGACGCACACAGATTTTCATACCCGTATTCACATTCCTCCCTCCCTCTTTCACTTCCTCACTCCCTTCCATCTTTCCTCTTTCCTTCCCCCCTCTTTCTTTCTTCCTCCCACCACCCATCCTTTCCATGTTCCCTAAGGTCTTCTGTTGAATCCTGGGGACCTAGAGTGGATGTAGACCTGAGCTCCAAGCAACCTACTCTCATCAAGGAAACAAAATATATGCCCAGACTCTGGGAATAAAATCTCTGGAGAAGGACAGAGTTAAGGAGGGAAAGCCGGTGGTTCCAACTTTACCTCATTCTTCTTTCAATGAATCCTGCCTCCCAGTCTGTTTTTAGCAAAGATAGTTGTTCCATTGGCTTCTCCCTAATTTTGTCCCAGACAAGATTTTGGGTGGTGGACAAAGATCTGTAAAATTTGTCAAGGGAGCTCTTTGAGTAGCAGGTGAAGTGGAGAATGAGGCAAAAATTACCCCCATGTGCTAGAAAATGGGGCAGAGTACAAACTTGCCCCTGAGCTTCCTGGTAGCCAATGGGAAAAGGGAAATCAGATCAGTTACCTAGGTTATTATAAAATCTTATTCTAATATTTTAAAATTTTCTCCAAAAGAATACAGCAATTTCTCATGTGTGAGTGTGTGTGTGTGTGTGTGTGTGCGTGTCGGATGTCTTTATGAAGATAGCACTATGTGTTATTGCTATTACTGTTACTACTGCCAATAATAATCCTCACAGCAACCTCATGTAATAAACAGGATTGCGATTCCCAGTTGACAGATGAAGAAACTGTTTTATAGAATTAATCTGATCTGCTCAGAATCACACAGCCAGGAAGTCTGTCTCTAAATCTTGGGATTAAATTTGTTCTGATTTAGATGATAACATTGGGGTCCCTGGTTCCCTGTCTCAACAAGAAAGCAGAGCAATAATTATTCTTATTCTTAATAATTCTTCTTGAAGCATTACAAATGGCAATCCATACTGGGAAGAAAACCAGGAAGGGCTGAAATAATTTAGAAAGCGCAGGCAGGGACAGCCTTCCTAGGAAGGTGAGGTTTGGGATGTGATTTGAAAGACAAGAAGAAATGAAGTTTGCAAAGGTAATGGAGAAATACAATGGAATGTTATTTAGTCATAAAACCAAAAGGAAGCACTGATTCATGTTTCTTTTTTTTTCCTTGACACTGAGTCTGGCTCTGTTGCCTGGGCTAGAGTGCTGTGGGGTCAGCCTAGCTCACAGCAACCTCAAACTCCTGGGCTCAAGCGATCATCCTGCCTCAGCCTCCCCAGTAGCTGGGACTACAGGTGTACACCACCACGCCCTGCTAATATTGATTCGTGTTTCAGCATGTATGAATCTTGAAAATATTATACCAAATGAAAGAAGCCAGACAAAAAAGGCTGCACATGGTAGGATTCCCATCTATATGAAATTATAGGCCAGGCGCAGTGGCTTACCCTGTAATCCTAGCATTCTGGGAAGCCGAGGTGGGAGGATCACTTGAATCCAGGAGTTGCAGTGAGCTATGATGACACCACTGCACTCTACCCAGGGC